TTTCTAAATGTATGAATCATATGGTGAAAAACTAACTTTGAAAAATAAATCTGTTCTTTTTTCTTATAAAAGTCTAAATAAAACAAAAATATTGGTGGTAATTTTTGACTGTGTAACTTTACAAATGACACCCCATAAATTACTAAAAGGGGTGAGTATTTCTGCCAGATACTGTAGTTCAGTGTTGGAATCAGGAGCAACTTGTTATTTATTTCAGAGTAAACAGAAAGTTTCCTGAGCGGGGGGGCTGAAGCCCCTCTGACCTGTCAGAACAGCTGTTCCAGTTCTGAAGCCTGGGATGAGAAGAGGCTGACGCTCAGTTTATTCCAGTAAATCTCTGTGATTTGACTCATGATTTTTACAGCTCGTAAAGCCTCGGGTCATTACGAGCTGCTGTGTCCTCAGTCAGCAGGACAAGCTGGGTCTTGTGTCTGATGTCCCGAGTACCACCCCGTCAGAACGCAAACACTAAAACTACAGATTGTTTTAACCATTGTTGGTTTGATACAAGATTCCTGATAAAGTGTTTGACCCTCACCACTTCACACTGTTTCACTCACACTAACACACTAACACACTAACACAGTAACACACTAACACACTGACACACTAACACACTAACACACTGTAAGTGTTTCCTCCAGCTTTGTAAGAAGAGACAGAAATGTCCGAAGGATAAAAAGAACTCACCTTGTTCTGTGGCGTTTTGATGCACACGCTGCTGAATGGTTCAGGACYGGTTCGGTGCAGAGTCTGTCTCAGTCCCAGCAGGAACCTGACCCAGTTCAGATGAAGTCCTGCTGGTGAAACCTCCTCTCTGAGCCTTTTAACCAGCAGCTCCTCCAGCCCCTCCTCACACAACTCTGGGTGTGTGTGGCTGTAATTTCAGAGTGCAAAAATAACAGCCAGTGGGTGTGTGTTAGTTTGTCTTGATCCTAACTGTACATGTAACACTGGGGCAATCATCCAAACCATCTTCTGCAACTACAGGTTCTGGTGTTGAAGCTTGTGAGCCACAAATGAGTCCCAAATGTTGTGATTTTTCTGTCAGGTTCAGCTTTTCATCTGGTTTCTTAGAGGCAGAAAGTCCTGCAGGATATTTCTGTCACTTTTCCTCAGACACAGATGGAGCTTACTGAAATCACASGACCTGAGGACGTCCTGATCAGGATTTGTTTGTCCTCCAAACACATTCAAGACTTAGTATATTACTTTTTATTTTTATTTTTTTTTAACATCACATACCATGACTGTTCCTGCATGGTTGCTGATTGAACGCAGCTGCAGCCACTCTCAGTGATGACATCACAAGCTCAGATTTTTCAATTCATTTCAATTTCTATTCAAACATTTATTCATTTCATTAAAAATACTACATACAATAACAAAAAATAAACCAAAACCAAAAAAGAAAATAAATCAAAATAAAATAAAAGGTAGCAGAAGAAGAATAAATCTTATAATATCTACTCCTTTTTGACCAGAATATATTC